TATATATATATATATATATATATATAGTCAATTCTAAAATATTCTTTAGCTGATTGTTTTACCTCATTACTACCACTTTTATCATTTCTTTCTTCGAAATATGCATTTTTCTCAAAATCCAGCTTCAATTCTCATTCCACTTGCTTTTTTTGTAGCTTCATCCCTGGCAATAGCAAATCCAGTTTCTCCATAATTTTTAAGAAATGAAACAAATCATTGTAAGTGGTCGATAGCACCATCAATATCCATGTTTTCGGTTTGAAGAAATTTACTCACACTATTGACTCTATGCAACAACTTGTACCAGATAACCATGACAAGCAAGAACTCAAAATTATGAAGTTCATATGTTGCTAAGGACTCGGCTTCACTTTTTTTTTTAGAATTTTCGTTAATTTTTGTCAAGTCGTGTAAAGCATCTCTTATTTGTGCAATTTGTTCCATTATAGACTTAACACTTTCAACGTGACCTTTTCAGTGTGTTTATGACAATAGTGCTACTGTCAGACCTTGTACATTGAAATCATTGTTACAAACATGTTGGGAAAGTCATATTTGAAGTGTTGGCCTATGATGGAGCATACTACACAAAAAATAAACGTTTTACTTGATTTGATAGAAATTAGCGAAGATCCTAAAGCAAAGAGTGTAGTCGAACCTTTAACAACATATGAACTTCAGAATTTTAAGTTCTTGCTTGGCATGGTAATCTAGTACGAGTTGTTGCACGAAGTCAATAGTGTGAGTAAATTTCTTCGAACCGCAAAGATGAATATTGATGGCGCTATTGACCTCTTACAAAAACTTGTTTCATTTCTCAAAAAATTATAGAGAAACTGAATTTGCTATAGTAATGGATGAAACGACAAAAAAGCAAGTGAAATAGGAATTGAAGCTGTATTTCGAGAAAATTGCCTAATTCGATGAAAGAAGTAGTCTGGTGAAAGTGGGAATGATGAAATAAAGCAATCAACTGAAGAATCTTTTAGAGTTAAATACTTTCATTTTATAATTGATCAAGTTCTATCTTCTCTCAACACTTGATTTCAAGAATTTAAACAATATGAAGAAGCATTTGAAGTTTTGTTTAATTTGAAGAGGTTAAGATGTGCAACTTTTTTTCAATTTGCTGAAATCTTATATGAATCTTAAGTAATATCGGAACAAGTTCAGATATTAATGGAAATAATTTATATTCAGAATTACATATCTTGATGTGCTCTATACCAAGTGCAGCAACCACAACAATTAAAGTACTATAATATTTGAAGTCAATGAATGATTATTTCCCAAATACTTGTATTGTTTACAAAATTTTATTAATCATACCGATTACAATTGTATCTGCAAAAAGAAGTTTCTCCAAATTGAAATTGATTAAAATTTATCTTCAATTAACTATGTTACAAGAAAGATTAAACGAGTTGGCTATGTTATCAATTGAAAAATAAATAATTAAACAGTTAGATTATTAAATTTTGATTAATTTTTGCCTCTAAAACTGAAAGGCAAATAGTATTTAACTGATTGTTAGAAACATTGTCGATTTTGTTATTTGACTATAATATAAATTTTTGAAAAATTACAATTTTTTTGTTGTTTTATTGTTAAGTTTTAAGTTAACAATTGATTTCATAATATATTTATAAATTTTGCATGCATACTATAATCTTTTTTAGGAAGGGGCTAATTTATGAAGTTTTTCTCAGACCCTAAAAGTCATAGCATCGACATTGGGATCAAGTGGGCACAGATCAACTGGCGGAATAATCAGCACATAACTCGCTTTCAGCTGCAGGATGTGGGTTCGAATCCTGGTGGGAATCTGCGGTCAAATTTATTTGGTATAGAGTAATCATTTTGGAGGATGATCACTTGTGCGTAGAAGTGTAAAGTTGGTGAGGGGACCTGGGAATCAGTTGAGGCATATCTCGCGATTCACTTCCTCCAAAGTTCTAGGGACAAGGGTCTTGGAGGTCCAGGATTTAGTCTGGCAAAA